GAGTCTCACTCGGTTGCCCAGGTTGGAGTCCCGTGGCGTGATTTTGACTCACTGCAACCTCTGCTTCCCAGGTTCGAGCAATTCTCCTGCCTCAGCTTCCCGAGTAGCTGGGATTACAGGTGCGCGTCCCCATGCCCGGCTAATTTTTGTATTTTTAGTAGAGACAGGGTTTCACCATGTTGGCCGGGTTGGTCTCGAACTCCTGACCTCAGGTGATTTGCCTGCCTTGGCCTCCCAAAGTGCTGGGATTACAAGTGTGAGCCATTGCACCCGGCCTTAAATTGTATTTTTTATTTTTTTTTTTGTAGAGACGGGCTCTCGCTGTGTTGCCCAGGCTGGTCTTGAACTCCTGACCTCAAGTAATCTTCCCACCTCGGTCTCCAAAAGGGCTGGGATTACAGGGGTGAGCCACTGCACCCCACCTTCCCTCTACTTCTTGATGGTTTGCTTCTGCTATGAATGTGCATGTCCAGTTGTCTGCTTCTTAGAACAGATATTTACCTTCCTCATTCATCGGCCATTGGAGGACTGGGACCACCCAGATTATTGATCCGGCCCATTCTTCCGGGAGAGTTTCCTGGTGGCTGTCTTCCATCATCATAACCGGAATCAGATGAGTTTCCGTAGCCTTTTTTTCCCCCCACATCTTTGCTGAAGCAGAGTTTTGAAAAACAAAACCACAAACTAAGCTATTCCCCAGAAGAAATCTGTAATCAAAGATAAGGTCTGCCAGGCACAGTGGCGCTCACGCGTTCTGGAGGCCAAGGTGGGTGGATCACCTGAGGTCAGGAGTTCTAGACCTGCCAGGCCAACACGGTAAAACCTCGTCTCTACTAAAAATATAAAAATTAGCTGGTTGTGGTGGCGCATACCTGTAATCTCAGCTACCTGGGAAGCTGAGGCAAGAGAATTGCTTGAACCTGGGAAGTGGAGGTTGCAGTGAGCCAAGATTGCACCACTGCACTCCAGCCTGGGTGACAGACAGAGCAAGACTGTGTCACAAAAATATACATAAATAAAATAAAAAGTAAAATAAAAATACAAAAGTTGGTTGGGTGTGGTGACTCACGCCTGCAATCCCAGCACTTTGGGAGGCTGAGGCGGGCAAATCATGAGATCAGAAGTTCAAGACCATCCTGGCTAACACGGTGAAACCCTGTCTCTACTAAAAATACAAAAAATTAGCTGTGCGTGGTGACACACGCCTGTAGTCCCAGCTACTTGGGAGGCTAAGGCAGGAGAATCACTTGAACCTGGGAGGTGGAGATTGCAGTGAGCCGAGATCGTGCCACTGCACTCCAGCCTGGGTCACAGAGCAAGACTCCATCTCAGAAAAAAAAAAAAAAAAAAAAAATTAGCATGGCGGTGGGCACCTGTAATCCCAGCTACTTGGGAGGCTGAGGCAGAATTTCTCGAACCTGGGAGGTTGCAGTGAGCCGAGCCAAGATCACACCTCTGCACTCCAGCCTGGGCAACAGAGCAAGACTTTGTCTAAAAAAAAAAAAAAAAAATTTGAATAGGCCGGGAGCAGTGGCTCATGCCTGTAATCCCAGCCCAGCCCTTTGGGAGGCCAAGGTGGGTGGATCGCTTGAGGTGAGGAGTTCGAGACCAGGCTAGCCAACATGGTGTAACCCTGTCTCTACTAAAAACACAAAAATTAGCTGGGCCTGGTGGCACACGCCTGTAATCCCAGCTACTTGGGAGGCTGAGGCAGGAGAATCACTTAAACCTAGGAGGCAGGGGTTGTGGCAAGCCAAGATCGTGTCACTGCACTCTAGCCAGGGTGACAGAGCGAGACTCTGTCTCAAAAAAATAAAAAAGAAATTCAGCAAGTGAAGAGTTTAGCAATTCAAATATTAAGGTGAGTGTAAAGGAACGCCCAGGATGTGGCCCAGGATGGAGTAGGGGGATATTATTTTAGCAGAAAGCTCAGGCCACAAGACAGGAGGAGCCAGCCTTGTTGGGGATGAAGGGAAGAGCATTACAGGCTGAGGGAAATGCAAGGCGGTTGCATGGGACACCATGGGATGGCTTCTGCCCTCGGTGGGCAGCCTCTGGTCTGAGGCCATTCTTTGGCCTGCCTGAGACTGCCTGGCACCCGGGAGGAAACCCTGCCCTTCCTGAAGATAGAAGCAAAGGTCTGGGGAATCTCTGCTTCCGTTTTCCCTGAGAAAAAGCTTAAAGGAGCAGAGGACTGGTAGGTGCCTCCTCCCTCTGCCAGCCTGCCCCCCACCATGGCCATCCCACTCCCATCTCAAAAAGGCTCGGACCCTGATCAAGGAGTCATCTCCCTTGTCCCAGCACCTCCAGTTGGCCCAGTCTCCAAAACGGATGTCAAATTCAGCCCTTTCTCCAAGCACACTGCCCAGTCCAGGCCCCATTATTCATCTGGACTACAACAGTCACCACCTCTCCCATTTCCTAGCTGCAGCTCTTGAAGCCTCAACTGGGCCCTTGTGAACACTTGAGTCAGGGCAAGGTCCTTCCTCCGCTCACAACCCTCCATAGCTCCCACCTCACTGGGCATAAAAACCAAAGTCCTGGCCGGGCATGGTGGCTCAAGTCTGTTATCCCAGCACTTTGGGAGGCCAAGGTGGGCGGATCACCAGAGGTCAGGAGCTAGAGACCAACCTGGCGAAACCCCATGTCTACTAAAAATACAAAAATTAGGCATGGTGACGCACCCTTGTAGCCCCAGCTGAGGAGGGAGAATCACTTGAACCTGAGAGGCAGAGGTTGCAGTGAGCCGAGATCACGCCACTGCCCTCCAGCCCGGGTGACAGAATGAGACTGGGGTTCACAAACAGACAAAACAACAAAGTCCTCCCCAGGTGACAGGCACTTTCACTTATCTGCCCTGTCATCTCCCTGCCTGCTCCTCCCCTCCAGTCTCTTCCTTTGCTAAGCCTGCTCCAGCCACGCTTGTTCCTTTTTTTTTTTTTTTTTTTTGAGGCAGAGTCTCACTCTGTCACACAGGCTGGAGTGCAGTGCATGGATCTTGGCTCACTGCAACCTCCGCCTGCCGGGTTCAAGAGATTCTCCTGCCTCAGCCTCCCAAGTAGGTGGAATTACAGGGGTGCACCACCACACTCAGCTAATTTTTGTATTTGTGTAAAGACGGGGTATCCCTATGTTGCCCAGGCTGGTCTTGAACTCCTGGGCTCAAGGGATCCTCCCATCTCGGCCTCCCAAAAGGCTGGGATTACAGACGGGAGCCACCGCGCCCAGCTGGATTTTTGTCTGACTCTGTTCATTCTTGCGTCCCCAGTACCTGAAAGGATGCCAAGCACACAGTAGGCGCTTAATAAACATTGAGCCACATGTTGAGAAAAGAACGGCGCCATTGTGGCTGCAAGTGGGACTTGGACCGCGCGGGGGAGCTCGCCGCCCGCGCACCTCGGGCTGGGGCGCGAGTCCGTAGAACCCGCCCGAGGAAGAACCCGTGGCGCAGGATTTTCCCAGGCCGTCTGAGGACCAGGGACGTCCCCAGTCCCACTCTGTGACTTTGCTCAGGCCGTTCCGGGGCGGGAATTCAGTACCCCTCAGCCCCCCAAGAAAAAAATAACCCCGTGGAAATTCCTTGGGAATGACCGAGGCGGGGAAAATATGCGTCTCTGGATGGCCAGTGACTCGCAGCCCCCTTCCCCGATAGGAAGGGCCTGCGCGTCCCAGGCCCCTTCGCTTCCCTTTCTGCTGCGCGACCTCCCTGGCCCCTCTGAGATCTCCACGGCGACGCCGCGCGCGCCCCACAACAGGAAAGCCTTAGGCGGCGCGGCTTGGCGCTTGGAGACTTCAGAGTCCCCAGCCTCGACGTGGTGGATGTCGAGTCTTGGGGTCACACGCACAGGCGGTGGCCAAGCAAACACCCACTCATATTTAATGCACGCGCCTGGGTTGCGGGAGCCTCGCGCGGAGGGCAAGGGTTCGAGCACCCCCTCTCCCTGCCTCACCTCGGAGCCTGGGGGCTGCCTTGTTTCCCAGCTGCAGGAAGGGGTTCGAGCGCCCCTTCTCCCTGCCTCGCCTCGGCGCCTGGGGGCTGCAGCCTCAGTTTCCCAGCGACAGGTAGGGGTTTCGAGCGCCCCCCTCTCCTCCCTCGTCAAGATCCAAGCTAGCCGCCTCAGTTTCCCCGCGGAGCCTGGGACGCCAGCGGAAGGGCTCGGCGCGTGGGGATCACGCAGCTTCCTTCCTTTTTCTGGGAGCTGTAAAGACCCTCCCGCGGCCAAGGCCGAAAGGGGAAGCGAGGAGGCCGCGGGGGTGTGAGTGCCCACGGGTGTAGAGAGAGGACACCGATTTCCCCGGACGTGGTGAGACCGCGCATCGTCACTCCCACGGTTCGCGTTAGCCGGGAGGTGCCTGGCTCTGCTCTGGCCGCTTCTTGAGAAATGCCCGTGTTAGCTGGGTGGGGACGTGACCCTAGGGGGAGGGGCACCCCTCAGTGGAGGGAGCCCGGGGAGGATTCCTGGTCCCCCACCCAGGCAAGGGGCTCATCCACTCGATTAAAGAGGCCTGCGTAAACTGGAGAGAGAGGACTTGAGTTCGGATCCCTTCGCAGCCTGGAGTCTCAGTTTACTGCTTTGTGAAATGGACACAGTAACAGTCCCCACTCTCCGGGGTAGTTGGCAGTATTTAACAGTACTTAATAAACCGCTTAGCGCGGTGTAGACCGTGATTCAAGCTTAGCCTGGCCGGGGAACGGGAGGCGTGTGGACCGGGAGCAGCCCCCGGGGTCATCGCCCCGCCACCGCCGCCCGATTGCTTTAGCTCGGAAATTCCGGAGCTGCAGCGGCCAGAGAGGGAGGACGACCCTGCTCGGCCCTGGCACCCTCTCAGTCCGGAAATACAGCAGCATTTGTTCCGGAGGGGAAGGCGCGAGGTTTCCGGGAAAGCAGCACCGCCCCTTAGCCCCCAGGTGGCTAGCTCTATAAAGGACCTCGCGCCCCACTGCGTCCCACTCGACGCTGAGCTCCTCTGCTACTCAGAGCTGCAACCTCGGCCTCGCTATGGCTCCCAGCGGCCCCCAGCCCGCGCTGCCCATACTCGTGGTCCTGCTCGGGGCTCTGCTCCTAGGTGAGTCAGGGGTGGGGATTGCCATCGGGCCAGCTCCGCAAAACTCCGGGAGGACCGGTTCCCAGGTCAGGTCATGCATACTTAGGTAGCTGTTTATGGGAAGGTGGGCTAGAGACAGCTATTGAAAGGCAACAGTCAGTGGGTTCGAATCCAGACCCTGCATCACCTCCACGTGTGGCCTCGGGCTATACATTGCAGCTTTGAAAAAGGGGGTTGGAGATGGAGGGGAGGGGCAGACCTCATTTTGTTGCCCAGGCCGGTCTTGAACTCCTGGGCTCTTGTGTGAGCCACCGCCTTGCTTGGCTAGATTGGGCCTCTTAAACTTCAGTTTCTCAGCTGTAAAACGGGAAACGTCATAGCAGCCACCTGGCAGGGTATCTTGGCTCAGCACAGCACCTGGCCCCAGGACTCAATCATGATGGTTTGGGAACTTGGCTGTGTGCCAACCCAACAAGGCTTAAGGGACCCCCACCCACTTCAAGATGTATATTCTGTTCCTCATCCTCTCTGCCCCTGGGGAAGTCCAGGGCTGCTTCTACTCAGGGGAATTCCAGAGCTGACTTATCCGTGGCCCAAGGCTGAGAAGTGGGAGGCGCCAGCACACCCTCCCCCAGCTCCAGCCTAGCTAGGACAGAGGGAAGGGGTCAGAGGATCTTTCCCGGTGGTGTAAGTTTGGGGAACCAGGAAGGTGGGAGATTGACAGCTTGGTTAACAGCTCAACAAAGCCTCAGATCCAGGCCAGCGTGGTGGTTCATGCCTGTAATCCTGACACTTTAGGAGGCCCAGACGGGTGAATCACTTAAGGTCAGGAGTTGGAGACCAGCCTGGCCAACATGGTCTCTACTAAAGCCCGTCTCTACTAAAAATACAAAAATTAGCTGGCATGGCGGTGGGCACCCGTGATCCCAGCTACTCGGGAAGCTGAGGCAGGAAAATCCCTTAAACCCAGGAGGCGGAGGTTGCAGTGAGCTGAGATGGTGCCACTGCACTCCAGCCTGGGAGACATAGAGAGATTTGGTCTCAAAAAACAAAGCGTTCTGATCCAGACTCAGACCCAGATCACACTGCTTTCTAACTGAGTAACCATTTCCCTTTATGAAATGGGAATGGTCCCAGAATCTCCCTTGGAAAATATATGGAGTCAATGTTCTCACACCCCCATCCAAGATAGAACAAATCCGAGACAAGAATCTTTGAAGTGAGGCAGTGCTGGGCTCAGACATTTTTTCCCACCTTCGGAGGCAGCAGAATCTGAGGGACCTAATACAAATAGGCCTGCCCTGCCGCCTGCCCTCCCTCCATCCCTCCCTCCCTCCCTCCCTTCCTTCTTTCCTTCCTTCCTTCCTTTTTTTGAGACAGAGTCTCACTCTGTCACCTAGGCTGGAGTGCAGTGGCGCGGTCTGGGCTCACTGCAACCTCTACCTCTCAGGTTCAAGCGATTCTTCTGCCTCAGCCTCCCTGAGTAGCTGGGACTACAGGCGTGTGCCACCACGCCCGGCTAATCACTGTGTTAGCCAGGATGGTCTTGATCTCCTGACCTCGTGATCTGCCCATCTCAGCCTCCCAAAGTGCTGGAATTACATGCATGAGCCACAGTGCCCACCGTGTAAGCCCCTTTCTTTCTTTCTTTCTTTCTTTCTTTCTTTCTTTCTTTCTTTCTTTCTTTCTTTCTTTCTTTCTTTCTTTTTTTTATTTTGAGATGGAGTCTTGCTCATCCCGCAGGCTGGAGTGCAGTGGCACTATCTCGGCTCACTGCAAGCTTTGCCTCCTGGGTTCACGCCATTCTCCTGTCTCAGCCTCCGGAGTAGCTGGGACTACAGGCGCCCACCACCACGCCCGGCTAATTTTTTTGTATTTTTAGCAAAGACAGGGTTTCACGGTGTTAGCCAGGATGGCCTTGATCTCCTGACCTCGTGATCCGCCCGCCCGGGCCTCCCAAAGTGCTGGGATTACAGGTGTGAGCCACCACTCCCAGCAGCCCCTTTCTTACCTGCCCTTACCTGCAAGATAGCCAGTTGCTACCTGCCCTGTGCTGAGTTACTTGTATTAGCAAGGAACAGGGTGGCTATACTCACACACCTTACAGATGGGGAAATTGAGGCCCAAAGAGGGGGAAGCTACGTGTCTCAGGGAGTGAGGAGCCAGTCTGATTCCTGGAGGGCTGACCCTCTCCACCTTACTTCTTGGGAGGGAGGAGGGCACCAACTTCACGTTAAAATCTGGTTGGACACAGTGACTCACACCTGTAATCCTGGCATTTTGGGAGGCTTAGGTGGGAGAATCGCTTGAGGCGAAGAGTTTGAGATCAGCCTTAGCAACATAGTGAGACCCCATGTCTACAAAAATGTTTTTCAAATATTAGCCAGGTATGGTGGTGTCCTGTAGTCCCAGCTACTTGGGAGGCTGAGGTGGGAGGATCACTTGAGCCCAGGAGTTCAAGGTTACAGTGAGCTATGATTGTACCACTGTATTCCAGCCTGGGTGACAGAGGGAGACCTGTTAAAAAAAAACAAAAAAACCGATGGCTAAAATCCTCCCATGGCTCCCTATTGCCCTAAGTATAAAGAACACATGTGGCCGGGCACGGTGTCTCACACCTTGTAATCCCAGCACTTTGGGAGGCTGAGGTGGGCAGATCACTTGAGGCCAGGAGTTTGAAAGCAGCCTGGCCAACGTGGCGAAACCCCGTCTCTACTAAAAATACAAAAATTAGCCGGGTGTGGTGGTGCTTGCCTTAGTCCCAGATACTCTGGAGGCTGAGGCAGGAGAATCACTTGAACCTGGGAGGCGGAGGTTGCAGTGAGCTGATATCGCGCCACTGCACTCCAGTCTGAGTGACAAAGCGAGACTCCATCTCAAAAATAATAATAATAATAAATAACAGCACACATCTTTAGCATGGCCTTCAGTGCCCATGGGATCTTCCTTAATTGATCTCCCGCTCTTCATCCTTGCTCACTCAGCTCCAGCCACCCTGCCCGAGGACCTCTGTACTTGCCTGGAACTTACTTCCCTTTTCTCTGGACAGCCAGCCCTTTCTTATCATTTCGATCTCTGCTGAAATATTACCCTGTCACCAAGGCACTGTCTATTCTATCACCCTGTTTTGTTTTTGTCAAAGCTCATATTAACATCAGTTATTAATTATCTTGTTTGCTCATAATTTTTTTTTTTTTTTTTTTGAGACAGAGCCTCGTTCTGTTGCTCAGTCTGGAGTACAGTGGCACAATCTTGGCTCACTGTAACCTCCGCCTCCCGGGTTCAAGTGATTCTTGTGCCTCAGCCTCCCAAATAGCTGGGACTACAGGCACATCCCACCATGACCGGCTAATTTTTGTATTTTTAGTGGAGACGAGGTTTCGCCATGTTGGCCAGGCTGATCTCAAATTCCTGACCTCAAGTGATCTGCCCGCCTTGGCTCCCAAAGTGCTGGGATTACAGGCGTGAGCCACCATGCCTGGCCTGCTCATGAATTTTCTCTTTAACTTCCACATCGAAGGCAAAGTATTGTCTTGTTGAGGCTGTGCCTCCAGCACCCGGCGCAGGCTGGGCGCACATTCCCATTGATGAACCTGATTTGTAATGCCTGTCACCTCTTCCCGCGTTTCTTCTAGGACCTGGCAATGCCCAGACATCTGTGTTCCCCCCAGAAGTCATCCTGCCCCGGGGAGGCTCCGTCAAAGTGAATTGCAGTGCCTCCTGTGACCAGCCCATCTCGTTGGGCATGGAGACTCCGTTGCCTAAAAAGGAGATACTCCCGGGTGGAAACAACTGGAAGATGTATGAACTGAGCAATGTGCAGGAAGATAGTCAACCAATGTGCTATTCAAACTGCCCTGATGGGCAGTCATCAGCTAAAACCCTCCTCACCGTGTACTGTGAGTAACTGAGCCCGGAGGGCTGGACTAGGCAGACTGGAGTGGGAGAGACGTAGAGGGGCACCTGCAGTGGCCTGGGAGAATCTTTGTTACTTGCTGGTAGGGTCAAGGAGGGGCTCCTTGAAGGGCAGGTGGGGACATCCTTAGAAAGTCCCTTTAGGCCAGGCACGGTGGCTCATGCCTGTAATCCCAGCAATTTGGGAGGCCGAGGCGGGCGGATCACGAGATCAGGAGATCGAGACCATCCTGGCTAACACGGTGAAACCCCATCTCTACAAAACAAAAATACAAAAAAACTAGCCGGGCAAAGTGGCGGGCGCCTATAGTCCCAGCTACTCAGGAGGCTGAGGCAGGAGAATGGCGTGAACCTGGGAGGCGGAGCTTGCAGTGAGCCAAGATCCGGCCACTGCACTCCAGCCTGGACGACAGAGCGAGACTCCGTCTCAAAAAAAAAACCAAAAAAACAAAAAAACAAAAAAATTAGCCAGGCATGGTGGAGTGTGCCTATAGTCCATCCCTGGGAGGCTGAAGCAGGAGAATCACTTGAACCCAGGAGGCGGAGGTTGCAGTGAGCTGAGATCATGCCACTGCACTCTAGCCAGCCTGGGTGACAGAGTGAGACTGTGTCTCAAAAAAAAAAAAAAAAAAATTAGCTAGGCATGGTGGCATAAGTCTGTAATCCCAGGTACTCATGAGGCTGAGGTGTGAGGATCACCTGAGCCCAGGGAGATGGAGGCTGCAGTGAGCTATGATCATGCCACTGCACTCCAGCATGGAAGACAGAATGAGACCCTGTCTCAAAAACAAAAACAAAAAAACAGCAAAAAAAAAAAAAAAAAAACCCAGTCCTGGAAAGAGGTCTATAGGTGTCCCTACCTACAAGGGAAGTGGTGGGAGTTATGGCACTATTCACTGCCACTTTGTACAAAGGGCAAATGGGAAACGCTAGAGAGAGAAAACGTGGCTTGGCCATACCACAGAATAGCATGCGACCGTGTAGAAGAATCAGGAAGTTCCTGTGAACTGAAAAAGAATAAGCTCTGGGGTGTATTGTAAAGTCAAAATGAAAGAAGGTGGCTGGGCGCAGTGGCTCATGCCTGTAATCCCAGCACTCTGGGAGGCTGAGATGGGCGGATCACCTGAGGTCAGTAGTTCGAGACCAGCCTGACCAACATGGAGAAACCCCGTCTCTACTAAAAATACAAAAAAAAATTAGCCAGGCATGGTGGCACGTACTTGTAATCCCAGCTACTTGGGAGACTGAGGCAGGAGAATCTCTTGAACCTGGGAGGCAGAGGTTGCGGTGAGCCGAGATTACGCCATTGCACTCCAGCTTGGGCAAGAAGAGTGAAACTCCGTCTCAAAAAAAAAAAAAAAGAAAAGAAAAGAAACGAAAGAAGGTATGTTGAATATGAATGGCATGCCACCCTCACATTAGGGAGTGGCAGAGGGGCAGTTTCAGGGAGGCTGTATTTATGTATAAAATAGTCCTAAAAGGAAGTGGGAGAAATGACAATATTAGTTGGCTATGAGAAGACAGGCTGCGAGGCTGTGGGAGAGGGTTTGGGTGTGGAGAATTCTTTTTTTTTTTTTTTTTTTGAAACAGAGTTTCACTCTTGTTGCCCAGGCTGGAGTGCAATGGCATGATCTCTGCTCACTGCAACCCCCGCCTCCCGAGTTTAAGTGATTCTCCTGCCTCAGCCTCCCGAGTAGCTGGGATTATAGGCACCCGCCACCACGCCTGGCAAATTTTGTATTTTTAGTAGAGACAGGGTTTCTCCATGTTGGTCAGGCTGGTCTCAAACCCCAACCTCAGGTGATCCGCCCGCCTCGGCCTCCCAAAGTGCTGGGATTACAACGTGAGCCACTGCGCCCGACCGAGAATTCTTTTTTGTTGTTGTTGTCTTTTTGAGACAGAATCTTGCAGTGTCCCCAGCCTGGAGTGCAATGACATGATCTCGGCTCACTGCAACCTCTCCCTCCTGGGTTCAAGCGATTCTTCTGCCTCAGCCCCCCAAGTAGCTAGAATTACAGGCGCCCACCACCATGCCCGGCTAATTTTTGTATTTTTAGTAGAGACAGGGTTTCATCATGTTGGCCAGGCTGGTCTCGATCTCCTGACCTTGTGATCTGCCCGCCTCGGCCTCCCAAAGGCTGGGATTACAGGCGTTAGCCACTGCGCTCAGCTGAGAATTCTCTTTGCGTTCTTCCTAGTCTGGGGACTTTGAATGGTGAGAATTAGTTACCAAGGCCAAAATAAGGAATTCAAATGAAAACAAAACAAAATCAAAGAAGAAAAAACAGAAGAGCACTGGGCAGGCCAGGCACAGTGGCTCTATATGCCTATAATCCCAGCGATTTAGGAGGCCGAAGTAGGAGGATTGCTTAGAGGCCAGGAGTTGGACACCAGCCTGGGCAACACAGCAAGACCCCATAGCTACAAAAAATAAAAAACCTAGCCAAGCGTGGGTGGCATACTTGTAGTCCCAGATACTCAGGAGGCTGAGGTGGGAGGATCGCCTGAGCCCGGAATGTCCAGGCTGCAGTGAGCCGTGATGACACCACTGCACTCCAGCCTGGGTGACTGAGAGAGACCCTGTCTCTAAAAAATAAAAACTGGGCCGGGCGCGGTGGCTCACGCCTGTAATCCCAGCACTTTGGGAGGCCGAGGCGGGCGGATCACAAGGTCAGGAGATCGAGACCACGGTGAAACCCCGTCTCTACTAAAAATACAAAAAAATTAGCCGGGCGCGGTTGTGGGCGCCTGTAGTCCCAGCTACTCGGGAGGCTGAGGCAGGAGAATGGCGTGAACCCGGGAGGCGGAGCTTGCAGTGAGCCGAGATTGTGCCACTGCACTCCAGCCTGGGCGACAGAGCGAGACTCCGTCTCAAAAAATAAATAAATAAATAAATAAATAAATAAATAAATAAAAACTGGCCAAGTGGCTTTGGGATTAGCCTTGGGTTCTAGTCCTAGCAAGGCCTTTAACAGTGTGGGGGACATGGCTTCTGTGTTTACTTTGCAATCAGGTGAGACCTCCTCTGATGGGTAAAATGACACGGTGAGGGACAAAGGACATTCTCCTATCATTGTGTCAGGACAAGGAAGCCTCTGGGTAAATGATCAGCTTTGCTCCTGATTTGGAGGGTGGGTGAGCAGATGCTGACCTTCCCAGGTGAGGGAAGTCCCTGAACATTCCAAGCAGCTTCTGAAACCCCCAGGGAAACCTCTTTGAAGGTCTTTTCTGCATCTCTGATAGGTTGTTTTTTTGTTTTTGTTTTTATTTGAGACAGAGTCTTGCTATGTTGCCCAGGCTGGATCACTGCAACCTCCATCTCCCAAGTTCAAGCAATTCTCCTGCCTCATTCTCTCTAGTAGCTGGGACTACAGGCACCCGCCACCATGCCTGGCTAATTTTTGTATTTTTAGTAGAGACAGGGTTTCACCAAGTTGACCAGACTAGTCTCTAATTCCAGATCTCTGGTGATCCACCTGCCTCAGCCTCCCAAATGCTGGGATTACAGTCTTGAGCCACCGCTCCTGCCTCTGCCTGATAGCTGAGAGTGTAGAATTCCAGGTTTGAGACCTGGCTCTGCCACATTTCTCCCTCTATGACTGTCAGTGCCCCACTTTGCCTGAGTTTTTACCTCTGTGAAATGGAGCAGATGGCTGGCACAGGTAGCAAAGGAGTAAAAGGTGTGTGGGAGGGTGTTACCTGAGAGAGACTGTAGCTTAGTCTTGCACCACCCCTGGTGTAAACATAAAGAAGCCTCCCTGGATGGCTCAATCTTCTCCAAAAAGGTTAGAGGTGTAATTCCTAGAGGAGGTGACCACTAGCTGGGCTTTGAAGGATGTGTAGGAGTTCATAAAGACAGGCATTCTGGGGAGGGGGAATAGCCTGGGCAAAAGTTTGGAGCAGGGAGGAATCTTGATGGGGGCAGGAGGAGGAGGAGGTAGGTTAGTGTGGGCCAGGTGCAGTGGCTCACACCTGTAATCCCAGCGCTTTGGGAGGCCAAAGCAAGAGGATTGATTGAGCCCAGGAGTTCGAGACCAGCCTGGGCAACATAGTGACACCCTGTCTCTAAGAAAAAATAAAAAAATTGGCAGGGGGCCGGGCGCGGTGGCTCAAGCCTGTAATCCCAGCACTTTGGGAGGCCGAGACGGGCGGATCACTAGGTCAGGAGATAGAGACCATCCTGGCTAACACGGTGAAACCCTGTCTCTACTAAAAAATACAAAAAAAACTAGCCGGGCGAGGTGGCGGGCGCCTGTAGTCCCAGCTACTCAGGAGGCTGAGACAGGAGAATGGCCCGAACCCGGGAGGCGGAGCTTGCAGTGAGCTGAGATCCGGCCACTGCACTCCAGCCTGGGCGACAGAGCGAGACTCCATCTCAAAAAAAAAAAAAAAAAAAAAAAAAAAAAAAAAAAAAATTGGCAGGGTACAGTGGCATATGCTTGGACTCTTAACTACTCTGGAGGCTCAAGTGAGAGGATCATTTGAGCCCAGGTATTTTTTTGTTTTTGTTTTTTTGAGATGGATTCTCTCTCTGTGGCCCAGGCTGGAGTGCAATGGTGCCATCTTGGCTCACTGCAGCCTCCGCCTCCTGGGTTCAACCGATTCTCCTGCCTCAGCCTCCCAAGTTGCTGGGATTACAGGTGCCCACCATCATGCCCAGCTAATTTTTTTGTATTTTTAGTAGAGATAGGGTTTTACCATGTTAGCCAGGCTAGCCTTGAACACCTGACCTCAAGTGATCCTCCTGCCTCGGCTTCCCAAAGTGCTGGGATTACAGGTGTGAGCCACTGAGCCTGGTCAAGCCCAGGAATGTGAGGTTACAGTCAGCTGTGATTGCACCACTGCATTCCAGCCCGGATGACAGAGAGAGACCCTACCCCTAAAAAAAAAAAGTTGATTGATGGGAGGAGGGGTGAGGTTGGCAGTGCCTTGAATGCCAGGTGGAGGAGCTGGGACTTCCCTTCTCGGGGTGATAGGGAGTCTTGGAGGGTTTGTGAGCAGGCCAGGGATTAGATAGCTGAAGGCTGGATTTACCGGAAGCCAAACAGCAGTTGGCTATGGTCCTTGTCCACGTGGCCCATGTTGTGGGCAGTGACCGTATCCAAGAAGGGAAGGACAGACAAGTATTTGAATACTTCAGTGACCAGGATTTGGTAAAGGACTGAAGGTCAGAGTCAGGAGAGGTGAGAGCAGGAGACACTCCCTTCCCTCTGCACCAGGCAGCTGAGCTGGGTTTCCTCTAGGGGCTGAGGTTTGAGGGTACCTCAAGTTCTCTAAGAGTCTGTAGGAGGTGGTAAGAAAGAAGAGCTGGAAGGCCGGGCGCGGTGGCTCAAGCCTGTAATCCCAGCACTTTGGGAGGCCGAGACGGGCGGATCACGAGGTCAGGAGATCAAGATCATCCTGGCTAACACGGTGAAACCCCGTCTCTACTAAAATACAAAAAAAAAAATTAGCCGGATGAGGTGGCGGGCGCCTGTACTCCCAGCTACTCGGGAGGCTGAGGCAGGAGAATGGCGTGAACCCGGGAGGCGGGGCTTGCAGTGAGCTGAGATCCGGCCACTGCACTCCAGCCTGGGCAACAGAGCCAGACTCTGTCTCAAAAAAAAAAAAAAAAAAAAAAAAAAGAAAGAAGAGCTGGAAGTCAGAGTTTTCTTGACCATATATATATATATATATTTTTTAACAGCTTAACAGCTTTCTGTTTTATTTTTAGACACAGGGTCTCACTTTGTCACCCAGGCTGGAGTGCAGTGGTACAATCATAGCTGACTGCAGCCTCCAACTCCCAGGTTCAAGAAATTCTCCTCCCACCCTTAGCCTCCTGAGTAGCTGGGACTACAGGTGTGGGCCGCCAGAAAGCCCAGCTTGTTTTTTTTTGTTTTTTTTTTTGGTGTTTGTTTTGAGACGGAGTTTCACTCTTGTTGCCCAGGCTGGAGTGCAATGGCACGATCTTGGCTCACCACAACCTCTGCCCCCCAGGTTCAAGCAATTCTCCTGCCTCAGCCTCCTGAGTAGCTGGGATTACAGGCATGCGCCACCACGCAAGGCTAACTTTGTGGTTTTAGTAGAGATGGTGCTTCTCCATTTTGGTCAGGCTGGTCTCGAACTCCCGACCTCAGGTGATCCACCCACCTCGGCCTCCCAAAGTGTTGGGATTACAGGCATGAGCCACTGTGTGGCCTTTTTTTTTTTTTGAGACGGAGTCTCCCCCTGTCGCCCAGGCTGGAGTACAGTGGCGTGATCTCAGCTCACTGCAAGCTCCGCCTCTCAGCTTCACACCATTCTCCTGTCTCAGCCTCCCAAGTAGCTGGGACTACAGGCGCCCACCACCACGCCCAGCTAATTTTTTGTATTTTTAGTAGAGAAGGGGTTTCACCGTGTTAGCCAGGATGGTCTTGATCTCCTGACCTCGTGATCCACCCGCCTTGGCCTCCCAAAGAGTTGGGATTACAGGTGTGAGCCACCACGCCTGGCCTGGCCAGGCTGGTCTTAAACTCCTGACTTCAGGTGATCCATCCACTCCGGCCTCCCAAAGTGCTGGGATTACAGGCACGAGCCACTGCGCCTGGCTGAAGCACAGCTTGTTTTTTATTTTTTATTTTTTTTTGAGAAATGAGGTCTCGCAATGTTGCCCAAGCTAGCCTTGAACTCCTGGCCTCAAAAGATCCCGCCTTGGCCTCCCAAAGTACTGAGATTACAGGTGTGAGCCACCATGCTCCAGCCTTGCTTTCTTGAGATATGATTTAGAATACCATAAAATTAATCGCTTTTAAGCATACAATTCAATGACTTTTGTACAAACAACCATGACTATAATCTAATTTTAAAATATTTCCATCACTCTAAAAATGAAACCTCCTGCTTATATACGGCGACTCTGTCTACCTCTTAAGTGAATTCGTAATACTCCCACCTCTAATAACCCTATTTTACAGTTAAGGAAACTGAGGTTCAGAGAGACAAAGTCACTTACCCACAGCAAAGAAGCAAGACTGGATATCAAATGCAGGACCCCCGGGTCCTGATGCTTTTTTTTTTTTTTTTTCTCTGAAAGAGAATCTCACTGTGTCACCCAGTCTAGAGTGCAGTGGCATGATCTTGGTTCACTACAATCTCTGCCTCCTGGGCTCAAGTGATCCTTTCACCTCAGCCTCCCAGGTAGCTGGAATTACAGGCACATAACACCACACCTGGCAAATTTTTGTATTTTTAGTAGAGACGGGGTTTCACCATGTTGGCCAGACTGGTCTCGAACTCCTGACCTCAGGTGATTGCCTGCCTCAGTCTCCCAAAGTGTTGAGATTATAGGCATGAGCCACCACGCACAGCCTTTTTGTTGTTAGGCTCTGTCATTCATGACTTTTTTTTTTTTTTTTTTTTTTTTTGAGACGGAGTCTTGCTCTGTCGCCCAGGCTGGGGTGCAGTGGCCGGATCTCAGCTCACTGCAAGCTCCACCTCCGGGTTTACGCCATTCTCCTGCCTCAGCCTCCTGAGTAGCTGGGACTACAGGCGCCCACCACCTCGCCCGGCTAGTTTTTTGTATTTTTTAGTAGAGATGGGGTTTCACTGTGTTAGCCAGGATGGTCTCGATCTCCTGACCTCGTGATCCACCCGTCTCGGCCTCCCAAAGTGCTGGGATTACAGGCTTGAGCCACCGCGCCCGGCCTTTTTTTTTTTTTTTTTTTAATAGAAATGGGGTATTTCTTTTTTTTTTTTTTTTTTTTTTGAGACAGAGTCTCGCTCTGTCACCCAGGCTGGAGTGCAGTGGCCGGATCTCAGCTCACTGCAAGCTCCGCCTCCCAGGTTCACGCCATTCTCCTGCCTCAGCCTCCCGAGTAGCTGGGACTACAGGCGCCCATCACCTCGCCCGGCTAGATTTTGTATTTTTTAGTAGAGACGGGGTTTCACGGGGTTAGCCAGGATGGTCTTGATCTCCTGACCTTGTGATCCGCCCGTCTCGGCCTCCCAAAGTGCTGGGATTACAGGCTTGAGCCACTGCGCCCGGCCGAAATGGGGTATTTCTTTCCCAGGCTAAAGTATAGTGGCATGATCACAGCCCACTGTAGCCTTAAACTCCTGGGCTCAAGTGAGCTTCCTGCCTCAGCCTCCCAAGTAGCAGGGACTACAGGTTTGTACCACCACACCCAGTTAACCATTCATTCATTCATTTATTTTGAGATGGAGTCTCGCTCTGTCACCTAGGCTGGAGTGCAGTGGCACAATCTCAGCTCACTGCAACCTCCACCTCCCAGGTTCAAGCGATTCTTCTGCCTCAGCCTCCCGAGTAGCTGAGACTACAGGCATGTACCACCATGCCCGGCTAATTTGTGTATTTTTAGTAGAGATGGGGTTTCGCTATGTTGGTCAGTCTGGTCTCGAACTCCTGGCCTCATGATCCACCTGCCTTGGCCTCCCAAAATTCTGGGATTAAAGGCATGAGCCACCGCGCCCTGCCAACCTGTTTATTTTTTATTTTTCTTTGAGATGGGGGTCTCCCTATGTTGCCCAGGCTTGTCTTGAACTCCTGGCCTCAAGTGAGCCTCTTGCCTTGGCCTCACAAAGTGCTAGGATTACGGCCTGAGCCATCACACCTGGCTAACAGGTTTTTTGTTTTGTTTTGTTTTGTTTTAAAGAATGTCTAGGCCAGGTGTATTTGCTCTCACCTGTAATCCCAGCACTTTGGGAGGCCAGTGTGGGCAGATCATTTGAGGTCAGGAATTGGAGACCAGCCTGGGCAACATGCTGAAACCGCGTTTCTACTAAAAATACAAAAATTAGCTGGGTGTGGTGGCGCATGCCTGTAATACCAGCTACTCAGGAGGCTGAGGCAGGAGAATCGCTTGAACCCAGGAGGCAGAGGTTGCAGTGAGCCAAGATTGCACTATCGCCCTCCAGCCTGGGCGACAGAAGGAGACTCAGTTTAAAAAATTAATTAATTGGTTAAGAATAAAAATACAAAAATTAACCAGGTATGGTGATATGTGCCTGTAATCTGAGCTACTCAGGAGGCTGAAGCAGGAGAATTGCCTGAACCCCAGAGGCGGAGGTTGCAGTGAGTCGAGATCAAGCTACTGTTTGCCCAGTCTAGTGCATTGGGCTGCTGAATTTATTTGACCAGACACCTAGCAATTGACTTTGAAGTTCTTTTCCACTTTTCACTCTAAGATGCTGCTGTCATGAATAAGGAATTTTTGATCTCCTTCACAAACACTCGGGTCCCTCTTACCAGCTTTCACTTGACATTCCTATCTGCTTAGGTGTCTGGGAGTGTTTGGGGGAGATACCGAAGAGGTGGGGCTCCCAGGCAGGTGCGGTTTGTCTGTTAGGCAGGCAACAAGGTCCAGTTCACCAGACACGCCCACCTCTGTTTTCCTGCAGGGACTCCAGAACGGGTGGAACTGGCACCCCTTCCCCCTTGGCAGCCGGTGGGCAAGAACCTTACCCTACGCTGCCAGGTGGAGGGTGGGGCACCCCGGGCCAACCTCACTGTGATGCTGCTCCGTGGGGAGAAGGAGCTGAGCCGGCAGTCAGCGGTGGGGGAGCCCGCCGAGGTCACGACCACGGTGCCCGTGGGCAGAGATGACCACGGAGCCAATTTCTCGTGCCGCACTGAACTGGACCTGCGGCCCTATGTGCTGAAGCTGTTTGAGAACACCTCAGCTCCTCACCAGCTCCAAACCTTTGGTGAGGATTGAAGAAGCCAGCAGGGAGAGGGTGGAGGTGGGGTATCCTGCAATGGGGTGCCTGTGGTTGCAGGATCTTTTGAGACGGGTGTGGCCCCGGCTAAGGGATGCGTGTGTTCTAGGCTGCTGAGTCACCCTGGAGGAGGATCTCGCAGGAGGGGGAATGAAATGCCCCAGAGAAGGGTTTCAGGATGTCCATCCCCAACTGCTCACACCTTCCTTCTCTCCCTAGACCTGCCAGCGACTCCCCCACAACTTGTCAGCCCCCAGGTCCTAGAGGTGGACACTCAGGGGACCGTGGTCTGTTCCCTGGACGGGCTGTTCCCAGTCTCAGAGGCTCAGGTCTCCCTGGCACTGGGGGACCAGAAGTTGAACCCCACAATCACCTATGGCAACAACTCCCTCTCGGCCAAGGCCTCAGTCAAGGTGACCGCAGAGGAGGAGGGCACCCAGCAGCTGTTGTGTGGAGTAATGCTGGGGAACCAGACCCAGGAGACACGGCAGACAGTGACCATCTACAGTAAGAAGAGGCAGGGGTGGAGCGGGGCTTCTCGGGGGTGTGACCTGAATCCGGGACGGGGCTCACTGTGTGCTCATCCCAGGCTTTCCGGCACCCAACGTGAATCTGACCAAGCCAGAGGTCTCAGAAGGGACCGAGGTGATAGTGGAGTGTGAGGCCCACCCTAGAGCCAAGGTGATGCTGAATGGGGTTCCAGCCCAGCCACCGGGCCCGAGGGCCCAGTTCCTGCTGAAAGCCACCCCGGAGGACAACGGGCGCAGCTTCTCCTGCTCTGCAACCCTGGAGGTAGCCGGCCAGCTTGTACACAAGAACCAGACCCGGGAGCTCCGTGTCCTGTGTGAGTGGGGCTTCTGGTCAATGACCCCTATCCCCCAAAGCCCAATCCCTGAAGTCCCATCAGGTCTTGCCCTCCAAGTCCTGCCCCTACCCACCTACATGGCATCTTGTTGTGTTTTTCCAGATGGACCCCGACTGGACGAGAAGGATTGTCCGGGAAACTGGACGTGGCCAGAAAATTCCCAGCAGACTCCAATGTGCCAGGCTTGGGGGAACCCCTTGCCCCAGCTCAAGTGTCTAAAGGATGGCACTTTCCCACTGCCCATTGGGCAATCAGTGACTGTCACTCGGGATCTTGAGGGCACCTACCTCTGTCAGGCCAGGAGCACTCGAGGGGAGGTCACCCGCGAGGTGACCGTGAATGTGCTCTGTGAGTGAGCCGGCGTGCACAGCTGGGTGGGGGAAGGGGCCATGAACCCGATGCAATCCTCACCCCCCATTGTATCCTCCCCACAGCCCCCCGGTATGAGGTGGTCATCATCCCTGTGGTAGCAGCCGCAGTCATCCTGGGTACTGCAGGCGTCGCCACGTACCTCTACAACCGCCAGCGGAAGATCAGGAAATACAGACTACAACAGGCTCAAAACGGCACCCCCATGAAACCAAACACGCAAGCCACGCCTCCCTGAACATATCCCAGGACAGGGCCTCTTCCTCGGCCCTCCCATATCGGTGGCAGTGGTGCCACACTGAACAGAGTAGAAGACGTATGCCATGCAGCTACACCCACTGGCCCTGGGATGCCAGAGGACAGGGCATTGTCCTCAGTCAGATGCAGACAGCATTTGGGGCCATGGTACCTGCACCTAAAACACTAGGCCACGCATCTGATCTGTAGTCACATGACTAAGCCAAGAGGAAGGAGCAAGACTCAAGACCTGATTGATGGATGTCAAAGTCTAGCCTGACGAGAGGGGAAGTGGTGGGGGAGACATACCCCCACCATGAGGACATACAGCCGGGAAATGCTGAAACTTGCTGCCTGCTGGGTATGCTGAGACCCCACAGACTTACGGAAGAAGTGGCCCTCCACAGACATGTGTAGCATCAAAACACAAAGGCCCACGCTTCCTGATGGATGCCAGCTTGGGCACTGCTGTCTACTGACCCCAACCCTTGATGATATGTATTTATTCATTTGTGATTTTACCAGCTATTTATTGAGTGTCTTTTATGTAGGCTAAATGAACATAGGTCTCTGGCCTCACGGAGCTCCCAGTCCTAATCACATTCAAGGTCACCAGGTACAGTTGTACAGGTTGTACACTGCAGGAGGGTGCCTGGTGAAAAGATCAAATGGGGCTGGGACTTCTCATTGGCCAACCTGCCTTTCCCCAGAAGGAGTGATTTTTCTATCCGCACAAAAGCACTGTATAGACTAATAGTGGTTACAGGTTCAGGGATTACCCAGTGAGGCCTTATTCCTCCCTTCCCCCCAAAACTGACACCTTTGTTAGCCACCTCCCCACCCACATACATTTCTGCCAGTGTTCACAATGACATTCAGTGGTCATTCCTGGACATGAGTGCCGAGGGACTATGCCCAACCTATGCCTTGTCCTCTTGTCCTGTTTGCATTTCACTGGGAGCTTGCACTCTGCAGCTCCAGTTTCCTGCAGTGATCAGGGTCCTGCAAGCAGTGGGGAAGGGGGCCAAGGTATTGGAGGACTCCCTCCCAGCTTTGGAAGCCTCATGCGTGTGTGTGTATGTGTGTGTAGACAAGGTCTCCCTGTCACCCAGGCTGGAGTGCAGTGGTGCAATCATGGTTCACTGCAGCCTTGACCTCCTGGGCTCAAGTGATCCTCCCATCTCAGCCTCCTGAGTAGCTGGGACCATAGGCTTACACCACCACACAAGGCAAATTTGATTTTTTTTTTTTTTAAGAGACAGGGTCTTGCAACATTGCCCAGACTTCCTTTGTGTTAATAAAGCTTTCTCATCTGCCTCAGCCTTGTGTGAGTTGAGGGGAGGTGTCATATCCAGCTGGAGTCCTTTCCAAGCAGCCACAGCCAGATCCTCCCACTTCCTCTCCCAAGAAAACATTGTGGGTTGATGGCCATACCCTGAGGTTCTGGTCCAAATCTGGGACTTTCTATGACCTTCTGGTCTCTAGTGAAAACTAAAGACTCCTCTCCAGAAAAAAAATTTGGTTTTCAATGAGGCCTGGAATCTCATTCTTGACCGGGGGAGGGGAATTTTTGCAGGACTTCCCGGCCCTCCGTTGGGGCCTCCCCTCTCTCTCTAGGGTGGAGTCGAGGAGGCGGGGCTGCGGGCCTCCTTATCTCTAGAGCCGGCCCTGGCTCTCTGGCACGGGGCCCCTTAGTCCGGGCTTTTTGCCATGGGGTCGCTGTTCCCCCTGTCGCTGCTGCTTTTTTTGGCGGCCGCCTACCCGGGAGTTGGGTGTGCGCTGGGACGCCGGATTAAGCGGGCGCAAGGCCCCAAGGGTAGCCCTCTCGCGCCCTCGGGGACCTCAGTGCCCTTCTGGGTGCGCATGAGCCCGGAGTTTGTGGCTGTGCCGCCGGGGAGGTCAGTGTGGCTCAATTGCAGCAACAGCTGTCCCCAGCCGCAGAATTCCAGCCTTCGCACTCGGCTGCGGCAGGGCAAGACGCTCAGAGGGCCGGGTTGGGTGTATTACCAGCTGCTCGACGTGAGGGCCTGGAGCTCCCAGGCGCACTGCCTCGTCACCTGCGCAGGAAAAACACGCTGGGCCACCACCAGGATCACCGCCTACAGTGAGGGACAGGGGCTCGGTCCCGGCTGGGGTGAGGGGAGGGGGCTGGAAGAGGTGGGGGGAGGGTAGTTGACAGTCGGCTCTTTAGGGAGCGCCCGCGGCCCTCACGCAGAGGCTCCCCCTTGCCTTAGAACCGCCCCACAGCGTGATTTTGGAGCCTCCGGTCTTAAAGGGCAGGCAATACACTTTGCGCTGCCACGTGACGCACGTGTTCCCGGTGGGCTACTTGGTGGTGACCCTGAGGCTTGGCGGCCGGGTCATCTATTCCGAAAGCCTGGAGCGCTACACCCACCAGGATCTGGCCAACGTGACCTTGACCTACGAGTTTCCTGCTGGACCCCGCGACTTCTGGCAGCCCCTGATCTGCCACACGCGCCTCAATCTCGAAGGCCTGGTGGTCCGCAACAGCTCGGCACCCGTTACACTGATGCTCGGTGAGGCACCCCTGTAACCCTGGGGACTAGGAGGAAGGGGCAGAGAGAGTTATGACCCCGAGAGGGCGCACAGACCAAGCGTGAGCTCCACGCAGGTCGACAGACCTCCCTGTGTTCCGTTCCTAATTCTCGCCTCCTGCTCCCAGCTTGGAGCCCCGCGCCCACAGCTTTGGCCTCCGTTTCCATCGCTGCCCTTGTGGGAATCCTCCTCGCTGTGGGCTCTGTGTACCTGTACAAGTGCCTACCTATGAAATCCCAGGCGTAAAGGGGGATGTTCTATGCCGGCTGAGCAAGACAAAAGAGGAATATGGAACCATTTGGGGAATCGGCCAGACATGGTGGCTGACGCCTGCAATCCCAGCACTTTGGGAGGCTGAGGCAGGAGAATCGCTTGAGCCCAGGAGTTCGAGACCAGCCTGGACAACATAGTGAGACCCCGTCTATGCAAAAAATACAAAAATTAGCCGGGTGTGGCGGCCCGCACCTGTGGTCCCAGCTACCCGGGAGGCTAAGTTGGGAGGATCGCTTGAGCCCTGAAAGTCCAGGTTGCAGTGAGCCTTGATGGTGCCACTGCACTCCAGCCTGGGGTACAGAGCAAGACCCTATCTCCAAAAATAAAATAAAAATAAAAATACGTATTGGCGGGGGGACCCTCCAGAATCAATAAAGACTTCCTTAACCAGCCTCTGTCCTGTGACCTAGGGGTCCACATTACTGCCATTCTTCGGAGGAACTTTTTTTTTTTTTTTGCGATCACTTTCTCCAAGTTCCTTGTCTCCCTGAGGGCACCTGAGGTTTCCTCACTCAGGGCCCACCTGGGGTCCCAAAGCCCCAGACTTTGTGTATCCCCAGCAGGTGTCACAGAAACCTCTCCTTCTGCTGGCATCATCGAGTGGGATCAGCGCGGGGCCCGGGAGGGCCACAGGCAGGGGCAGGGTGCGGTTCATGGTATGGCTTTCCTGATTGGCGCCGCCGCCACCACGCGGCAGCTCTGATTGGATGTTAAGTTTCCTATCCTAGCCCCACCTTCAGACCCTGTGCTTTCCTGGAGGCCAAACAACTGTGGAGCGAGAATTCATCTCCAAAATAACTTACCATGCTGGGGTGAGACCACGAATGGTGCGGAGGGGAGGGTCCCGTGGACATATTGAGGGACATGGATACGCAGAAGACTTATCCATGTAGTGGCAGCCGGGAAGGGGTGATCGGATGTCTACATGGAATATCACAAACTCGAATTCTGAAGATGTCCTGGTAGTCACCCGGCCAGATGAGCACATGGAGTTGGGGGGTGTCAAAGCTTGGGGCCCGGATGCGGAGTCAAAAGCGTCACCTTTGGTCCCTCGTTCTTGCATGGAGGTCCAGGGCCCCCGCCCACCGAGCAGAAGGCGGACTCAGGGGCGCTCCAGGGTGGCTGGAGCTCACACACGCTGAGTAGACACGTGCCCGCTGCACCCTGGGTAAATACAGATCCGGAGCCGAGCGGATTCTAATTTAGACGCCCGCGAACGCTGCGCGCACGCACACGTGTCCTCGGCTCGCTGGTACTTTCATCCCGCCCCCTCCGTCGCTTGCCGGGGCTGACCTGGAGGGGGGCTTAGGGGTGTGGCTCCGCGGGGTCAAAAGGAAAAGGATCGGTGAGAGAGGCATCCCCACACCCTCCCCTAGAACTGTCCTTTCCCTATGTAGTGCCTCCCAAATCTCTCTTAGTCCCCAAATGCATCCCCGCCCTAAGGGGGGCTGGTGGGAGGAGCTACATGTGGGGGCGGAGCTCGGAGTCCAACTCATTATCATGGCATCTCAGCCAGGGCTGGGGTAGCGGTTTGGAAAGGGCAACCCAGCATCCCCCGATCCCAGAGTCGCGGCCGGGGATGACGCGGGAGAGCGTGGTCGCCCCCAGAAGGCTCCGGGCCATCATGCCGGCCTCCACGTAGACCCCGGGGGTCGCTCGCTCCTGCCAGCTCGCCTTCACTAAGGCCAGGAGCTTAGCGCAAGCTCGCCTCCCGCCCCCCCACCGCCTCTGCCGCCGCCCCCTCCTTGGAAACCAAGTTACCAACGTTAAACCAATCCCCGAGCGCAACTCTGCCTCCCCCACACCCCACCCGCCGCGCCGCGCGGAGCCGTCCTCTAGCCCAGCTCCTCGGCTCGCGCTCCCCTCGCCTCCTGTGCTTTCCCCGCCGCGGCGATGCCAGGGCCTTCGCCAGGGCTGCGCCGGGCGCTACTCGGCCTCTGGGCTGCTCTGGGCCTGGGGCTCTTCGGCCTCTCAGGTAAGAGTCCCGCTCTGGCTTGGGGTGGACAGGGCGGGGGCGGAGTCCCTGGACCTGGGAAACGGCCTCCTGTCCCTCCCAGCTCCGCCCTCGCCTCACTCCCACGCCTCTGCCCCCACCTGGAGCCTGAGTCTTCTCCCCTTCCCCCTCCTCCCCAACACACACCCGAGTCCCAGCTTCCCGACTCCTCGATCGCCCCTACCCGCTTCGAGATCCTAGGTGTTCTTCCGCACCCAACCCTTCGCCCTGGAGACCCAGTGTCTCTCCTGTCCCCTCCCCGGGTACCTTCTCACGCTCTGCTGTGCACCATGGTCCACGAACTGGCATCTTCCCCACTCGCGGTCCGCGAAGACTCCATCTCTCCAACTACCGTGACTCAGAGGCGCTGTTCCCGCTCCACCCAGAGCCCTGGCAACCGGGTCCCTCAGCTGTTCCCGCGGTTCCTTCCATGAGCCCAGCCCTGCGTCCCGGCTCCGTGTTCTTCACCAGGTGTAGGGTCCTTCCTGATCCTTGACCCAGCCTCGTCTCTCCTTTGCCCTTGCCGCAAACGCACTCTCCTCGTATCCCGGCATTCTGCCAGGACCCTGAGAATCTGTTCATCTCCCATCCCCCACCCGGGGTCCCCTTCTCTGAGCCTTGCTGCGTTCATCGGAGACCCCACCTTTCCTCTCCTCTACCCCCTCCCCTATGCTTTCCCGCCGCTCCATCGGTGCTTTGGAGGCCAGGGCTCTCTGCTACCACGTCCCAGAGACACCCTCGAGGTTTAGACTCTGGGAGCGCGCCTTTAAACCGGAGGCCTGGGCAGGACGCGGGACGCCTGGGTTCTTTCCCCGGCTGCAGCCTCTCCTCCTTCTCCCCGCCCTCCGAGAATCCTTGACTCGACATAGGGGCGCTAAGATGTCAGGGAGTTGGCTCCCCAGGCTGAGCCCGCGTTTCCCTGGGCAGCGGTCTCGCAGGAGCCCTTCTGGGCGGACCTGCAGCCCCGCGTGGCGTTCGTGGAGCGCGGGGGCTCGCTGTGGCTGAATTGCAGCACCAACTGCCCTCGGCCGGAGCGCGGTGGCCTGGAGACCTCGCTGCGCCGAAACGGGACCCAGAGGGGTTTGCGTTGGTTGGCGCGGCAGCTGGTGGACATTCGCGAGCCGGAGACCCAGCCCGTCTGCTTCTTCCGCTGCGCGCGGCGCACACTACAGGCGCGTGGGCTCATTCGCACTTTCCGTGAGTTCTGGGTGGCCACGCGCGTACTCCACTACTTTCCCTCCCTCCCAGGCCCCGCCCCCTGGGTCCCAGGGTCCTCCCCTTCAGGCCCCACCTTCTGTATCCCACCCCCTCCCCTGGGTTCCAAGTTCCGGCATTCCAAGAGCGGAGGACTCTTCCCTCTTGCAGAGCGACCAGATCGCGTAGAGCTGATGCCGCTGCCTCCCTGGCAGCCGGTGGGCGAGAACTTCACCCTGAGCTGTAGGGTCCCCGGTGCCGGGCCCCGTGCGAGCCTCACTCTGACCCTACTGCGGGGCGCCCAGGAACTGATCCGCCGCAGTTTCGCTGGCGAACCACCCCGAGCGCGGGGCGCGGTGCTCACAGCCACGGTACTGGCTCGGAGGGAGGACCATGGGGCCAATTTCTCGTGTCGCGCGGAGCTGGACCTGCGGCCTCACGGCCTGGGACTGTTTGAAAACAGCTCGGCCCCCAGAGAGCTCCGAACCTTCTGTGAGTGGGTGTGGGGAGGAGATGGGGACCAAGTGGGGTCGGGTCGGTGTTTAGGAGGTTTAGAGGCAGATACATCTGAATGCTGGTAGTGACTTCAACCCTCACCGACTGAGCTGTTGCCCCCTCCGTGCCTTGAGGATGATAATACGATAAGATACTGCATGTCAAGTGTTTAGGACATATTGAGCGCTCGGAACACAGTTCGTTCAAACTTGGTTCTTCGACCCCTAGCCCTGTCTCCGGATCCCCCGCGCCTCACTGCTCCCCGGCTCTTGGAAGTTGGCTCGGAAAGGCCGGTGAGCTGCGCTCTGGACGGACTGTTTCCAGCCTCAGAGGCCAGGGTCTACCTCGCACTGGGGGACCAGAATCTGAGTCCTGATGTCACCCTCGACGGGGACGCACTCGTAGCCACTGCCACAGCCACAGCTAGTGCAGAGCAGGAGGGTGCCAGGCAGCTGGTCTGCAACGTCACCCTGGGGGGCGAAGATCGGGAGACCCGGGAGAACGTGACCATCTACAGTAAGGAGGGAGGCGGGGTCTCCGCGGCTCGGAGGTGGGACCAGAGGAACGCGAAGGCGGGGCGAAGAGTGGGTGGGACCTCAGTACCAGAACAGGCGAGACCCGAGTGTCCCGAGGGGGCGGGGCAGGTGGGGGCGGAGACGTAATCATTGGGGTAGAGGAGCCTGTACAGCCTGAGAGGCGGGGCGCGGTACCCTAGTTCCATATCAGCACCCCAGGATTCAGGCAGATAAGAGGCGGGCCTTGATCGGCGGGAGGGACGTGGTCAGTATACTCCGACTAAATGCTCCGCCCCCAGGCTTCCCGGCACCACTCCTGACCCTGAGCGAACCCAGCGTCTCCGAGGGGCAGATGGTGACAGTAACCTGCACAGCCGTGGCCCAAGCCCTGGTCACACTGGAGGGAGTTCCAGCCGCGGTCCCGGGGCAGCCCGCCCAACTTCAGCTAAATGCCACCGAGAACGACGACAGGCGCAACTTCTTCTGCGACGCCACCCTAGACGTGGACGGGGAGACCCTGATCAAGAACAGGAGCGCAGAGCTTCGAGTCCTATGTGAGTTGGTGATAACCCCTCGCCCCACACCTCCTGGTAATTTCCAAGGACCCGCCTGCTCCCTGGCCATGTCGTGGAGGCGGGGCCATTTCTCACGGTCCACGTCTAAGCCTCTGTAACCCCACGCCCTGCCCGCAGACGCCCCCCGGCTGGACGATTCGGACTGCCCCAGGAGCTGGACGTGGCCCGAGGGCCCAGAGCAGACGCTGCGCTGCGAGGCCCGCGGGAACCCAGAACCCTCAGTGCACTGTGCGCGCTCCGACGGCGGGGCCGTGCTGGCTCTGGGCCTGCTAGGTCCGATCACTCGGGCGCTCTCAGGCACTTACCGCTGCAAGGCGGCCAATGATCAGGGCGAGGCGGTCAAGGACGTGACGCTGACGGTGGAGTGTGAGTGGGGGTGCGCAGGGTGCATCTCTATCTGGTTCAGGATCTGGGGGGTGGCCAGCTTCCAGGGAAGAGTAGGAGTAGGGTATGAGGTGTCCCTTTGGGTGGGGTTTGGGGAAAGGGAAGAGGCTGGTTAGTGGGGTTGGGAAAGATCTTGGAGGATGGAAGAGACCGGGTGGGCGTGTCCCTAGCCCAGGGCGTGGTATGTGGGCGGAGTCTTGGAAAGGCGGGAGGTCCAGAATGTTAAAATTTTTAGA